AAAACTAAGCAAAATCAAATTAGGGCTTCTTTGTCTGTTTTGTCAGCTGTTAGGTAAGTGCATTTGAATATCTGTCATCAATTTGCCTTTTAGTTGCTCAGCAAACCACGAAAAATTAATGCTACTGATCAGCACAGCCTCGTCCAATTTCGAGTTTAGGAGAATTGTGTAAAAAAAATGTCGCCAAATTGTTTTAAATTTGCTTTCTTGTATATTAGTAGTGTAAAATGAAATACTTAAAAAAATGAAACGGGAACTTAAAATCAAAATGACGTCAACAAATAAGTGTAAAAGTGTCCTTCTTGTCAAAGATTTACTTAACATTTATTGGTTCCCTAGATGGTAAGTGCACCCTGCAGAGTAGATATATTCCAACATGTATTACTAAGAAGGGGATTTGTGTAACAAAACGCTTGCCTAAACCAAAAGTTCTTTGTTGGTTTTGATTTGATAATCCTGCAAGACCATTTCTCTACATTAAGAGGTCCCGTTCTGATCCACTGCATGCCATATCTTCAATGCAAGCTTTGTAAGAGTAGATTGCGAGTTGGAAAACGTTAGTCTTGATCACAACTTAATGATATCCACCAGGTCATGGATTGAAAAAAATGAACAAATAATGATTACAAAACAGTTCATGAAGACAGATCAACACTAAAACAGGCAGCACTGTTAAGTTTAGCGTCGTTCCATGTCCTTAGGTTAAAACGTTGTTTCGAGTACGAGTCAATACTTCAGCAGGTGGCAGGCGTGTTACCATGATGACATCATAAAAAAGAGGAGATCTTTAACGAATTTATCAATCAAGCGCAACACGGGTCTTACACTTTATCCAAAGGTGATCGAGTCTTTAGATTGGAATTCACTACATCGTGCTTCAGCGTTGTATCTTCGCGCGAAATGGCGCGTATCATCATTATTGATTAGAATCTTTATTTCTGTGTTTACACACTCAACTATATCTGAGTGAATTTCACCAAGGGAAAGCATGACTTTCATCAAAATTTCTACGTTTATCTTTCGACTAGTTTGATTGAAATGACAGTAAATGAACGAAAATTTTGTCTGCTGAAGCGAATACTGGTGAGATTATCTCTTCTCTATCCGTCTTTTCAATTGAGCTATTGGATATACGTCAATTTGGAGAGCAATTGGCACAGCCAAAACAAATATGAAAACATTTACGAGCTCTTAAGCTGTTTTTGCAGCCGTCAGATGAGTCCGTTTGAAAATTCACCATCAATTCGACTACTAATTGCTTTTCATTCTCGAGTTTCGAAATTAAAAAACCGGACTATGTTATGTGTCTCCGGCGTTTTGGAACATTGGATATTTCTCAGAAATTTGTCTTTAATCCTTTCTCAGTTTATCTATAATAAAACGTGTTCAAAAACTTAAACGGAAACTGAAAAAAGAAATTAACATAGCAAACAAATATATTTTGAATTAATAATTTATGTTTTTCTAACATTTATTTCGCGGTTCAGGATAAGTTAGGATCTACATGTAGATTTTACAATATACTTATTTGAACACGTATTAGGAGCTTGCTGTTCAAGAGAAATGTCCTCCATGAATATTGTTTCAAATAACCAAGAAGATGACATCTCTACATTAAGAACTTCAAGACTTATCAACTGCATTTTAAACGCCATTTGTTCATTTCCAGCTGCTTTTGGAAATGGAATCATACTACTCGTTATTTGGAGGACGCCATCTCTTCATTCACCTTCAAACACATTATTGTTTGGTCTTGCGCTGACAGATTTCCTCGTCGGTTCGGTTACTCAGCCTTTAAAAGTCGCCTCTTCTGTGATATACCTCGTGTCTGATGAAGAAGGTCCAGTCTCTCTTACCCTGGCGTTTGATTTTCTCTCTGTTGTGTCATCTGCGTCGTCTTTTTTCATAGCAACTGCGATAAGTGTAGATAGGTACCTGGTTTTTTACCTGCATATGAGATATCAAGCCATTGTCACCAACAAAAAAGTCGTGGTGATCATCATTTTATGTTGGTTTTTTTCCGCATTTTGTGGATTTATATGGACCCAGAACACTACAGTTTATTACCTTGTTGGAATCGCTTCTTTCCTTGTCTCGTTCACCGTTATCATTTTGATGTACTATAAAATCTATCGCATTGTAAGACGTCACCAGGCCCAGATTCAATCTCAAGCTCGAGTTGGAATCGAACAAGAAGCGTCAACACAAATACGGTTCACTCGTTTCACAAAATCAGCTATAAACACGTTTTACGTTTGCTTTATTCTGTTTCTTTGTTTTTCTCCATATGCATGTGTAGCCATTGTAGTTCAGTTTACAGGACAAAGTCTCACTAAATTTGTCGCACTGCAGTACACAGGGACGATAACGTTCATAAACTCGGCGCTTAATCCTGTGGTATACTTTTGGCGACTGCCTGAGATGCGAAGAGTTATAAAAAGAACCTTCAGGTGTTGCTTTAGACAAGCACGCGTGCGGCACGAAGAAATAAATTCCTTTGAATTATCAGGCATGGGAAGGAAATTCGCCGGATCTACATGTAACGATTTCTGATTACAAATATTTAATTGTGCCCCTTGCTGGGTATTCCATATGAAATCTGGAATATAACTTAATTAATCTTTTGATGGGTCGAGACACGTTCAAGACAGCATGTTTAAATTTTATAGGATATTGTTTAATTACACAGTTATTGAGTGTGGTAATTCTCCCAAAATAGGTATTGAAAATGCTTTTGAAAGGGAAAACAGATTAAACTCGCCCAGCTGGCAGTCACACACACGTCACATGTGAAGTTAGCATGTTGCAAAATCCTTGTTATCAACCCTGGACTCGATGTCGGCCTAACTAACCCTTGTGCGACTCGAGGGAACTGAATTAAAGATCTTTCCATAAACAGCTAGCCCCCCTTACGTAACAAAAACTTAGGCTTGTGGAGTGGGTAATGAATAAAACGGAAAAGACGCTTTGTAATTTGTTATTTTTTAATTAATCGAAAACACTTTCGCCAGTTTCAAAGAATGCGCCTACCCCTGAACTTTTTCCAATGGAACAGCCTTTGCCTGAAATTTTTGGAAAGTTTCCATCTCACAGGCATCATGAACTTATGAAATGATTGGCGTGCAGCGTGCAACCATCGAGTGATGGTGTACGCCTGAGGTTGCTAAGCACGAAAGAAGTGTAAGAGTCGCATGAGGCAACAAATCGCGTCAATCTAAATAGCTTTGGTCGACTGGATTAAACTCTAAAAGGGGTAAGTTTCTGAAGAAACTGTGGTGCTGCGTCGGTGGGAAAGTATATAACAGGGTAATTTGGT